CCCTTGTAAAGGTTCCCCTGATGATTTTATCTTAAAAGTCCACAGATAGCTTTTATCTTAAAGTCTCAAACTGACTTGGGACTTTGATTACATCTGCAAAATCATTTCACAGCAGTATCCTAACTAGTGTTTGAATAACTGGAGAAGGTGTGTGTGTATTACCAAGAACTGTCCACACTTCCTGCTGCTGGGCGACTTCTCTGCCAAGAATCAAAGCCGGGGGGAGGGAGGGAGGATTGCCATTTTATTTATGTTTATTTATATAGGGTCACATTTAAATAACAACATCTTGTTTTCATCTTAATTTTAGCCTCAAAGACCCAGGTGTAAGAGAATTTAATATTCATATCTCCACCTTCTGGTTGGGAAAACTGAGGCTCCGTGAGGTAGACTATTTTGCCTGACATCTCATATCATCTCTATCTCCGTATTCCACATCAAAGCTTCTTCAGACACTGGTTTCTTCAATATTTAAGTACTATCATCTCTTATTTTATTTTTTACAGTTTCCGGGAAGAATCTTTTTTCCAAACCTGTTGATAGAGATCACACACACACACACACACACACTAAAAACAAAACAAAGCAAAACAAAACACCAAAAAACATTATAAAAGGCAATAATCTTGCTGCATCATGAGAAAGAACTCCATTTATACAAATAGGAAAATCATTTATGCATGGTTTACTTTTGGGGGGATATTTTAGAAAATACATAAATCTGATAGGTTAAATAACTTAAGTAAACGGAAACAAACTCATTTTGAAGTTTGTTTAACTGAGGAAACTTTAATTTCACTTGCCATTTTCATGATGGTTAACATAGACATGGGTGTGTCTCAGGACTGGGACACACTTTACCTGGCCCAAGGTGTGACCACACTCAGTGGTCACAAGAATATGATTTAGGCAGCAATGCACAGACCACATCTAGTGTGATGTTGAATTAACTGAAAATGCTCAAAGCATCTGTTAATCCGAAAGTACACTGTAATTTTTATAGAGCCACCCAGGCTCCTCCTTAGCTCCTTCAACATGTTACACTCATCTGAAGTTCATGGATGAGTCTTATCTGTAAGAACGGACTGATCATTTCAAAGTGTGAGTCCCAGGGAGAGCAGAAATCTATAGATTCATTGAGAGTAAGAAAATGAATGGGACCCTAGGTGACTCCGGCTCCCATTTTACAGACGAGGAAGGTGAACCCTAGAGAAGTGCAGGGATTTGCCCCAGAATGCACAGCCGGGGAAGTAACAGATTTGAGATATAATTATACACCGTATGCTTCCAAGTCCAGTACGCTTTGTTCACCAATTGCATTCCCTGATGGAAAATGTATTGCATACTGTTTTCCACAAATACTGCATTTTTGTAACCAAGAAAATGTTTGCACCTGAGTTATTGGATACAGAGAGATAATTTAAATTGTTTCTCCCTGCCTGTCTGCATATGACTTGCTAATTTTTGTTTTGGTTCTGGATCCCTATCATATGCACTAGCCTCAGTTTTTATCCGGGAGTTGGGTGATGGGAGGGGTCTACCTGCTCACCAGTAAATTCGGCAACTGCTTGAACTGAGACGAATAAAATTCTTTTGGGGAGAGGAGTGTCTGACCGCTGCATTGTTTAGAATCCTGGCATACAGCAATAATAAAATCAGGCTGAGTTTTAGTCAGTTTTATTATCTTAAAAAAAGTTTTTTATGACACTGACCTGGATTAAAAACAGCAGTCCCCTACTCGCATCTGTAAGATTTCAGGTTCTTTAAAAAGTGTTCCTTATTGGGAAGTGGGGGTTGGGGTAGGGGCAAAGCACCTGCATAACATTTGAAGCTACATATATGTTTTAAAAAAATTGAATTATATACAAAATGTATTATTATCATAATTAAAAAGTATTATATGGAAAGATATTTTTTATTGAGAAGCCAGAGTTTTAGAAACTGACCTGGGTTTATATGGACATTATATTTAGTGTGTCCTCATTAACAAAGATCTTTTAGTTTATTTGTCCCTGGGTTGAGAGAGAAGGGGACATTTGAATGCATTTCGGATAGAAGCAGTGTTACAGGGCGATTCAGACAGCCTGTGTCAAATCTGGACGCTGACAAGTTACAAAAAATCATGCTAAGCATAAGTTTCTCCATCTTTAAAATGGGAATGAATAATAATATTTACTTTATAGTCTCACAGTGGGTATTGAAACTATTTAGTCACAAAGGATTTAGCCCTGTGCTAGCACATATTAAACACTCAGTAAATGTTTGCCATCACTATAATCATTATCCAGGGCTAAAAGATTTAATTTTTTTCACTGTTAAGAATGTTTTGCTGTGACACAAAATTGTGCGTATTTTCTTTATGTCTCTCAAATATGGAACATGAAAAGACTCTTATAGGTTTTAAGGATATTACCTCCCTTCTTTGTGATTAAGATTGTTATTTAGCGAATTTCTCCAAGGGCACTAGAGGGCGACCTTCTCCTTTAAGGAAAAAACACACAAAACAACACACCACGGAGGACTCATAAATACTTTGGTTTTGACAGCTGGAACTCACTGTTGCAGACTTAAAAGTAAAATATAAAGTCACACATTTGAATGCTAGATTGTCAGAATTAGAATTACTAGATTTTTCAGATTTCTGTCTAGGAGCCCACGATAGGGAAAATACCCTCTGTGGGCAATCTTGGATTCAAACTTCTGCCCTTGAGTGATCTTGGACTTTACCTTTCAGTATCTCATTCCCCCCCCCTCCTTTATAGTATAAGCATGTTGGGTTAGATCATCTTCAAAGTTGCTTTCTGCTCTAAAGTGCTGTGAGTTTAAATACTTCAAGGTTCATTCTTCTACCAGACTGTCTTTTCTCAAATGTTCCTTGTACTTTATTTCTTAAGCCAATGGACAAGATTTAAGGTCATAGTTGTTAACATCACTTAAGGCAAAATGGACTTATTCAAAAGTGAGATTAACTTTGGAAGATACGAATACATTTAGGGTTTTGATATCCATGTGTGAAATCTTGTTCTGAATGTTACTTTTTTATATAAGCATGAGAAACATACTTGAATAATATCTTTATTTAAGACAGTGTAAGACTTGGAAAAACCTGTCTAAACATCATTTAAAATCTATTTATATCTCTTCCATAAATAAAGTTGAACCTATGCCTAAATTATTGAATGTGATGAAAGTGTTTTTCTAATGCATTATTTTAAAATATCAATTCCCTTGAATATTCCTAAAAAGATTATAGTAGGTTAAGTTGTTCATAGATAGAAGCAACAGAATAGTAACTATAGGCAAGATGAGAGCCATCTCTCAAACGTGAGTACACAAAGCCAGTCTTTAGCATCTGGTGCGATGAAGAAATTCAGATGTGGTTTGAAATGTTTTTAATTTAAAACAACCAGAGGAGTAAAACTGACAGTAAGTAATAAATTCCCAGAATAAAATATATATTTGGAATTTATTTATAAACCTGTTTTTACTCTACTGAGGTGTTTCAGACAAGATAGAAAGATTTTTTTTTTAATAAGTAGCCAGCGATGATACATCGATCTGCCTTTTTAAGAAAAGTTACTATTTCAGAGAGAGCCATTTGGTATCTTAGTTTGGATCTATTTTTTTTAATGTACTAATTTCTTGCTCATGACCTGAAGAAATGCTCCTCCCACATCCCCAGACAAACTCTTAAACCTGACTTACATTATGAAAAATGCTCCCTGAAACATATTCATATGAAAAATAGAAAGTGTGAGACTTAGCAAATAGGCTCAACTGGATAGAAGCACCTCATTATCATAGTGTGAGGTGACAGATACATAGAGAAATCTGGATTACAGAAGCAGCTTCCCTCTCAAACCCAGAGCTGGTAGGGTGACCCCCAGTTAGCACTGGAGCCGGCACTGCACAACCATGGCGATGCTGTGATGTAATTGGGATGCTCTCTGTACAACTTCTAACTGTAGCCGATAAAATAGAATCCAGATTCTAAGAAACTTACAACTAGTGCACGGCCTTTCTCTTTTCTTGTAAACATTTGGCTCCTGACCAGATGTATCCTCATCCAACTTCCTCACCAACAATTTTAGTTCACTATTTCCAGTAAAATTTTGGGATGAAAAAAAAAAAAAAGTGGAACTTCTATTGCCCTGTCATTCTTATTAGTTGGGGTGATAGCCACAGGACTTCACAGTAAGAAACACACACACACACACACACACACACACACACACACACACACCCTCCTTCCCTTACCATCCAGAGCAGAAGAGGAGAAAAAGGTGAAAGCAAAGATAGTCTTTTGCAGGTTATTGTCTAAAGGCAGTTTAATATTTATGAACACACACACACACACACACACACACACACACACACACACACACACACTGTCTTGAGGCTCCAGTTACAAGCGCTGCGTCATCTGTCAGATCACATGGTAATTGTTGCTATTTCCAGGATCAAGTGGCATAAAGCTCCCCCCCTACCCCCCACCCCACCCCACCCCACCCCACCCCACCCCTTTCCTTGGGTACCATCTAGCATGGAGTGATTGTTGTGTGATGGGGTGAGATCAGGCTCTCTGGCCCAGCCCTCCCAGCTAGCAACCAGACTCTCGGTGGGGAGGCGCGCGTGGCGTTCTCACGGAGGGATTGGGAAAGCGGGGCGAGGGAGGAGGGGGTCTCCGGGGAGGAAGGGCAGCTGTAATTGGCTTCTCAATGAAAGATAATCACCTAGTCCCCCGGGAGGCTGGGGATTAGCACTCTGCCTCTTGCTCTCTCCACCGCTTTCAGACTTCTCCTCCTCCTCCCCTCCGAGCGGAGCTTTCAGTCCATTCAGCAGAAGTGGATCGAAGAGCGCGGCTCCCGGCGCGGCTGGAGGGGAGTGAGTACTCAGCGCCCATTCACTGCTCGCTCTGCGCCCGCCCGCCCGCCTGCCCGCCGGCTGGCCGGTCGCCGTCGCCCCGGGAAAAGTTTAGCCGAGGGGCTCCGGGGGCAGACATGGGCGATCTGGAGGAAGACTTCGCCAAGATCCTCCTGCTCAAGGAGGAGCGGATCAAAGAGCTGGAGAAGCGGCTGTCGGAGAAGGAGGAGGAGATCCAGGAGCTCAAGAGGAAGCTGCACAAATGCCAGTCGGTGCTGCCCGTGCCCTCCACCCACATCGGGCCCCGGACCACCCGGGCGCAGGGCATCTCGGCAGAGCCGCAGACCTACAGGTCCTTCCACGACCTCCGACAGGCGTTCCGGAAGTTCACCAAATCCGAAAGGTAGGCGCCTGGCATGGGGGGTCCGGAGAGGAGAGGCGCCGAGGCCACCGCTCCCGGGAGGGGGGCCCGGCCGCCGGTGGTCCCGGTGGAGGCTGCGTGGCTGGGGGGCTGGCCCTCGCCCGGCTGCTCTCCTGCGCCCCGAGTGGGGGTGGCCCCGCGGCCCGGGATGGGAAGTGTTTATTTTTATTCCTGCCCATCACGTGCTGTGCCGGCCTCTGCGGGGCTGGGAAAGGCCAGCTCCTTCGGGAGGGAGACGTGCCCCGGAGGCGGGCGGCGTGGGGGTGGGGAGGAGGACCAGGAAAGTTTGTCCGCGCCCCTAACTCGGGCACTCTGCACCCCGTCTTCTGGGCTGCTGGGCTGTCTTTCCTTTGCGCGCCCCTTGCGGGGGGCACCCACTCTGGGACCTGACCCTGCCCAGCCTGGGGTCTAGACAACTCTCTTCCCCTCCCTCCCCCTAGGAGGCCACCCGACCCGAGACCCAGGCCGTGGGGCACGGGCCGTGGGGCACGGGCCGTGGGGCCGCTGGAGCCGCCTGGGGAGGGGCCACGGACTAGACAGGGTTGGGCTCAGTTTAGGGGACCGCATGTCCCCAGAGCCCAAGCCCGAGGGGGCGGGCGCAAAGGCAGGGCGGTGACTTCTGGGGCATTCGGGGATCCGGCCTCAGGGATGGGGGGTGGGGGTGGGAGGGGGGAGGGATGGGGGGTTTATTCACAGGGTCACTTTCCAGGCATCTGTGATGTCAGCGAGAAAAACTGCAAAGGAACCCCAGTTTCTGGATGTGCCTGTGCTACGGGCCCCTCTCAGAAGCGCCACGCCTGGGTTTGGCTGGTCTGGGTGTGGAAACCTTGCACCTGAAGCGGGTTTGGGGCTGCTGGCCAATGCCCCTCCTGGTCTGCCTTCCTTTGGAGTCTCCCTCCCTGGGAAAGACAGCAGGAAGGGGGCGGGGTGGTATTTCTCCAGGCGCCTCCAGGCTCCTTCCTCCCCTCCGCCTGGGGACTGGAGGAGCCCAAAGCTGCCCGAAGTGCAAAGTTAGTGCCGTTGGTTCTGGTTCGGGGTGTGCAGGCGAGGCCGGCTGGTTCGGGCCACAAGGAGGAGGAAGCTTTTGCACTCCAGCCGCCGCCTGCACCGGAGAAGGCTGATCGATTGGCTGCAGCATTAAAGCGCCTCTGGACATTAGGGAGAGGAAGTGCAGACTCCAGAGCCCATTACGGGCTTTTAGTCTCTGGAAGTGCATGGCCCAAAGTGCATTCTGCAGGATATTGAATATTCCATTAGGCGCGCCTCGGTGCCCGCCTCCCTCTTACCCCTTCCCTCTGCTTAGATCACTTGGTGTCTGGGTTTGGGGCTCCAGGGACCCCTGAATGAGTCCCCTCCCCTTAGCGCTCCGACTTGGAGGCAGCACTTCTGAAAAAGAGCAGGTCCTGTGGTGGGGTTTCCATCCAATCCTGGACCCTCGGTGTCCCCCCACCCCCACTCTGTCAATGCACCCCTTGCTTGTCTGTTTCCCTTGCCTATTGATTACAGGATTTGTGTGGGGGCGGGGCGGGCAGGAAGTTGGGCAGCCTGTAAGAGCTATGAAGTCTGTCTGGAGCTGGGACTGGGTGCGGGGAGGGAGGAAACCAGAAAGAATTTGCCTTGGGAACTCTTAGGAACTGCGGGCCCCTTCGGAACAGACTTCTTTGGGGGCCGCTTTCGGATTTCCTGAGCGACACCCCACTTCTAAGATGACACCGTCCACATGGCACCGCTGCCTTGACGTTCCCTATCAGATGGAGCAGCGGATCCCTTCCCTCTGGAGGCCAGGACTGCACCCGGAGCCCCTTGTCCTTGCCCTTGGCAGGGAAGCTGCTGCAAGCTACTTGCCTCAGCCCAGAGCGGGCTGCGCATTCCTCGGCCGCTGCCCTGCCCCAGCGGCAGCTGGAATCAATCTGCCCACCTCCTTAGGAAGCCACTCCATCAGCGGTCACCCGGCAGCTGCTGCTGGCCTCCCGGGGCGACCGGGCTGGGGCTTTATCGCATTTTTGAAATTGCAGATCTCTGTCCTGCCCTGCCCCTCAGAGAGCCACCAGCAGCACCCCTGCCCAGCACAGAGATGTCACCAAGGTCTGGGGAGGACAGAGGAAACCCTCCCAGGGTCCACTGTCATTCGGAGCTAACTCTCAAAAAGACACTTTCATTGTCCTTGACGAGAAATCTCTCTAGGAAGGAGAGGAGGTTTTGTGTGACCTGGGAGAGACTGGCTGATCTTTCCTGTGTGCACATTGTCCAGTCCCCCGTTTCTGCTCCTTTCGCCCACTCCCCATCGCTTTGGTGTTAGGGTGAAGAACACCCTAGGAATGGATCATGCGCAGTGTCTGAAGCAAGGAGCCTGGATTCGTTCCTTCCTTCCTCTCCTCACTGATTTACCCTGGGACAGAGGGTAAACTTTTTCTAACTCAGCACTTAAGTTTTATGCTTTCCAATGGAAGCATGGACTGTATTTTCAGCAAGCTGACTCAATAGAGTGTAAAAAATGTTGACAGGTATACTATATGGGAATAGGAGCCGTTGGAAGTAGGTACTCATCCTAACACTTAAGGAGACAGTACTAACAATTATCATTGGCAAGACCCCTTATTTTGGCCAAGAAAAGAATGTCTAGGATACAACAGTTAACAAACAAGACACTTTTAAAATAAAGTGTTTTCTTTTAAATTTTTAGATATTTAGATTTGGGGAGTATATATCCCCTCAGCTCACACACCAGTGGTTAAAAGGTATGCCATTCTGACAAGCTAACCCAGGCTGAAAGAGACAGCTTTATTGCAAAGCTAATGTTCAATTACAGTTGCTCTAGGATTTGAATGATGACTATTCATGCTACAGGTTTGTTTCAAACTTTATGAGAACACCCAGTTTATGTACTAACAAGAAAAGAAATATCTTTTGAGAGTATAGGAAGTGAATTTGATGTGCTTCTGGAACCATAAAATATTTTTTTGCCTGTAATCTCTCTTTTAGAAAATGATTGCACTCTAAAACAATTACCTACCAGGTGACAAAAATATCTTATGCATTTCTTGCTGTGGAAAGAAATGGGAAAATTCACCGACCGTTGTAATCAAGTCAGTGCAATTAACCAGGTTTCCATGTGTCCACAGAGGGTAAATTTTCATTAAGAATGATCTAAGCATCTAAGAAATGCTTGGATGGAAATTATACCAGGAAAGGGAAGATCTGAGCTTTCAGCATAAGTATCAAGTGTACAATACGATGATCCTGTTTTAAAAAGAAAACATCCGACATACTTATTGCAGTGCTCATTTTCAGTCCCTTTAGAAATGTCCAGTAGGGATCAATTGATTGTCATGGAAAACTGTAGGGTGTTTTGGAGGAGGATAATATTTTAAAATTTACATATCACTTTTTGGCAAAAAAAAAAATAATTAAAAATTCCAAGTGTTTTACATGGTTTTCTATGAATTCTTAATGCCCTGCACGCATATACTCCTCATTAAGAGTTATCTAATATCCTAACTCTTCCCCTTCGTTTGTTATACACACTTAAATTCCTTATTTTGGTTGTCCACTTAGCACATGGTTGTTGTTTTTAAATTGCCTTAGGTAAAGGCTGGAATCACTATTAATCTGTTACAGGAATAATGTATTCCAAAGCTATGTGAGCTATTCTTGTCACAAATCCCTTGATTCTTGATGATGTAAATTCATTGCTTTGAACTTGAACTTCCTTCCACTGGGACACGGATGCTTTGGGATGGATGCCCCAGAAAACTCATTGCCTTTTTGCATTTCTGATTTGATTCAGGTCTGGTTATCCCGCAGACTAAATCAGAGGATTTGGCCTAATTTTGATACAAGTAACTTCAATAGAACAAGTGGGTACCAGCTGAATTTTGGGCCCAGCTCATTCATTGTTCATATAGAAAATACACAATGCTTTAAAATAGCAATGGCGACAATAATAAAGATAGCTAAACTCAACTATGCTCTTTACCTACCTTAATCTTTTTCTCATCATTTTCTCACAAAGATCCTGAATGACATATGCTTTTCAAAGGAGGAATCTGAGGCTTGAAGTTCTCATTTGCTTAATTAAGATCTTACAGCTAGCAGGTGCTATACGTCTCAAACCCAAATCTTGCAGTTTTTTAGAGGCCAAGTTCCAAACTGCTACACTACCTAGCCTTGGAATTGGGCCAGTTCAGTTTCAGTAATTGGTGAATCCTTTCTGTAGGAAGACATGAACCTGCCCCAAGTAAAAAATGGAATTAAAAAAAAGAAGTCTTAGAGCCAGCACTAAACTGTGAACAAGTGACCAATGTTCCCATCATATATTCCTTGGGTGTGCTGTGCCAGGTTGGAATTTCCTCAGGCTGTTCTGCTTTTGGGATTGTCATCTACCTCTTTCCATCTTCTTCCCTCCTAACCTAGCCTCGCCAGCTCAGTGACAGGCCACAGGTAGAGCTGATGACTGGTGCAGTTGTAAAAATGATCTTGGCTTCCTCTTTTGGGTACTATTCACTCTGTCCTTTGCCTGTTGCCTTGTAGGTCCCTGATGCTAATCCCTTCAATGCCTACCTATCCTACCATCCAAAGGAATTTATTACTGATAGTGTATCAACATGTTAGGCAAGTAATCATTTCTCAGTTAACATAGTGATGTTCAACAAGAGCTTCTGGAGGAGGACATTCCTGTAGTATACTTAGACAGATAATAGGAATGAAAAGAGCTTCAGGGGAGGCAGGCTGAGGAGAGGGGAGGATTTTTAGATAGGAGGGCTTCTTGAAAGCCTTGTGTCTTGCCTCATGAAATTTGAAGATAATAGGTTTTGAGCATAAGCACATCATACCTACTTTTAGTGAGCACTGTACAGGAGGAGGGGAGTACCTTGCTTTTAGTGATGACAAAACAGAGCGAGTAATTACTGACATGCCTTTTAAAGGATCTCAGAAATAGGAAGATGACTAAGGTTTCCTAATTTTGCATCAGTTCCAGAGTT